AACTTCTTGGACCCTATTTTATTGACGGCCATTTGAATGCATAGTCGTACATGGCTATTTTACGACATGTATTTGACAGGATGTTGGAAAATGAGCCTCTTCGTCCACTGACAAACCTCTACTACCAACATGACGGTGCCCCTGCACATTTTTAGCAGCAAAGCAGGGCTATGCTGGTTGAGGAGTTTCCTGGGCGATGAATAGGACGTGGAGAGCCAGTGGCATGGCCAGCGCGTTCGCCAGACCTTACCCCGCTGGACTTTTATCTTTAGAGAGAAGTGAAGCGCCGAGTGTATGCAACTAAGTTCCGTAATACGTCGGAACTCAAAAGGCGAATTCTTAGTGTGTTTAGAGACTTAAGAAATGATACTGTTGTGCTTACTAGAGTGCGTAACAATCTAAAGAAACGTGAAAACATTTTGAACAGCTTTTACTGTAAAAGCTGATCAAAATGGGATTCATTTACGAGGATTTTATTTAATAGGTAAGTGTAAATAATCAATCAATCAGGCTACACATCAAGCTATATAAAACTAGTTTGTCTTAGCCTTGTTTTGTATGATCTTTCCGTACAATGAACGGTCAGCTTATGCTTCAAATGCCCTTTGCGTTCCAGGGCCGCGGTATCCTGCTAAGAAAGTCCCGGGACCCCGGGTCCTTGTTTGGACGGCGAGCTACCCATTAGTTTTGCATAGCTTATTGTGTAGCCGTGAGTGCATAATGATTTACTATTATTAATGTTTAATTTTCTTTGTTGTTAAATCTAACTTACATTAATTTTGACTTGTCACGCAACACAAAGGGTAGGAATTTTTGACTGTCCTAAGCCAGTGTGAAAGTATGAAGGAAAAGTTACATCATAGGTTATGTGTACCATTGTGTTTTTATTGAAATGTTGAGTAGGTATCAAGGGCGGGTGGTGATCTTTACAGTGATTACGTCACTTGGGCGCATAGGGTATCCATGAATTTACGGACGGTGTCGGACAGAAACTATTTTAATTTTATGAAAGATAATAGCGTTTTTTTTAATCATAATAATTTTTAAATTAATACCTATGCAAATATATAAATATCGGTGACAAAGGTGTTTACACTTACACACTGTATAATAATACTATTTAATTTATTTGTTGTTAAATTACATATATTTCCAAACCCAAGCAAACAAGCTGATCGATTTCGTTTTTGGGTGTATGCCACTGGTGGAGACATTTTAGCAATGAACGATGACAATATATTTAAGTACCGCAGAGTATGTCACCTCCACTTTGAGTCGAAGTATTACACATGGAGTAAAAGACTTGCACCTAATGCAGTACCCAGGTATGCCAGGTAAATGATGTTTGATTCAATGTGTAGTAAGGCTCAATAATTTTTGGTATTATGTAAATACGATTCTTACTATTTTTTTATATAGTATCGAATTTTTTTATATAGTATACCGATTATAATAAATTATAAACACATGCAAATGTACTTAGATTTTTACCTCAAAATATGTGATACAAAACAGATAAATACACATTTTTAATTTTCGTATTTTATTAGGGTGTTATATAAATGTTGGTTTTGATCACCAGCCATCAACAAGCACTGAAAAGCCTAGCATCTCACTGGCACCTGTTGAAGGTAATTTCAAATAGACAAGTTTTATTTAATATTGTTGAAGTGTAATCTTTTCTTTCTATGAGACTAGCAGACTGTACCTTTGCATTGACAACTTAAATATGAATTTATATATAAACCTTTGTCATGAAATGTTCTTATCTGAATGATGGTGAAAATTGCATTTTATTTTTATTTTGACCATAATATTCAAAATTCAATCTGATTTTAGTTATGAATACGATATTTATAATTATCGTATGAGTCAAACATTACAGAAGAAATCATTCTTCCATTATTGTCATTTGCAAATCTATAAACTGGGCTCGTACATTGTTAGTATCTCAAGTCATAACTAACCAACAAATTTTACATTCATTCTTGAAAATGAATAGGAGCGTTGTAGTGGTATAAAAATCTTCACTATCGCATATTTTTCTGTGGGTGGCATAAAAGGTGGTAGAGGGAAATATTGTAACAATAATTACTAAAAAAAATCCTGTGGTTGCCACCAAGCATGGCAACTATGGCAAATGTACTGCCTATGAGGTAATTTATGTGAGAAATAATACACACAAATAAATAAATATATTTTGTAAAGGTAGTTTAATTAATAACTTAACCATTTAATAATTTTACCATTAAATTTTTTCCAGATAAAGTAATTCTATCCAATGACTGCAAAGATACTGCCGACACATTATTATTTTTTGATGAACTCTTCGACTCTTTAAATGGGAACTATGAAAATAATAAGAAAAGATGTGGTAAATCTCTTTTAGGTGCTTTAATCCCAACATCATCTCATCAATTAGTTTAGGATAATGCTACACCGATTTTTAATTATTATATATAAAGAACTGACTCGACGACTTCCAGCGTCCCGAACAAGCCGGTTCCGAAAAGTACCATAGACCACATACATACCCTTCGGCAAATTGTACAGAAGTCCGAAGAGTACAATCGGCCACTTTGCCTGGCGTATGTGAACTATGAGAAAGCCTTTAATTCCGTCGAAATTTGGGCGGTGCTACAGTCTCTTCAGCGGTGCCAAGTTGACTGTCGGTATATCGAAGTGCTGAAGTGTTCGTACAGTAGGGCTACGATGGCTATCCGAGTACAGAACCAGAGTACGAAACCTATCCAACTGCAGAGAGGTGTAAGACAAGGTGACGTTATTTCCCCGAAACTCTTCACCGCTGCATTGGAAGACGTTTTCAAGCTAATGGACTGGAAAGGATACGGTATTAACATCAATGGCGAGTACATCACTTCTTGTACACCTTCGATTTGCCGACGATATAGTCCTTATGGCAGAATCGCTGGAGGACTTAAGCACTATGCTCAATGACCTCAATAGTGCCTCCCAACGGATAGGTCTTAAGATGAACATGGACAAAACAAAGATCATGTTTAATGTCCATGTCACACCTATGCCGGTAGTTGTTGGGAGCACTAAGCTCGAAGTTGTTGACGAGTACGTTTACCTGGGACAAATAGTCCGATTAGGTAAGTCCAACTTCGACCGAGAGGTCAATCGACGGATTCAACTCGGCTGGGCAGCGTTCGGGAAATTACAACGCATCTTCTTGTCAGGTATGCCTCAAAACCTGAAAACTAAGTTGTACAACCAGTGCGTGTTGCCAGTGGTGACATGTGGAACTGAGACGTGGTCCTTCACTGCTGGCCGTATGAGGACGCTCAAAGTCTATTGATAGTCTGATTGTCTAGTGATAAACTTAGAAATGAGAATATCCGCAGTAGAACCAGAGTGACCGACATAGCCCAACGGATTAGTAAGCTGAAGTGGCAATGGGCCGGCCATATAGCTCGAAGAACCGACAACCGTTGGGGAAAAAAGGTTCCCGAGTGGCAAGGAAGTGTAGGGCGACCCCCCACTAGATGGAGTGACGACCTGGTAAGACATGCAGGAAGTCGATGGATGCAGGTGGCTCAGGACCGTGCTTTGTGGCATACCTTGGGGGAGGCCTATGTTCAGCAGTGGACTTGTAAAGGGCTGTAATGATGATGATGATGATGATATATAAAGAAAAAATAAACTTCTACACAAATAAATATATGTAGTTTTATTGCGGTTTAAATTTTATTCATGCTAAATATCATTACATAATGTTTTAAGTAAAATTCAGACTGAAAACATTGTGTGTATAATGAAATAAAATAAATAAAAGTAGACCTCTGTATATCCAACTCATGTTATTATTCGTAGTTGTATGTATATTCAATATATTTTTAGTTCGGACACGGAACTGTAGTAGGCGCTGGAGTCGCATTACTTAGGCCTTATCTGGACTTTAGAAATAAAATGAGTGGACTGTATTAACAATAGGTTTAATGCCGTAAAACCTCTAAACAAACATATTATAAATTGAAAAATAAAGTGCCCGTATGCTACCGCGTCTCGCAGCTGAGTGAGGTACAGAAGCGCTCGCGCTTCCGCGAGGTCAGCGATCGGTCCGCGCTCCCACGCGTCCATCATTTTGGCCGAGGCGCGTTGACGTGCCCCGACATATTCCCCGGGTTGAAGAGACGTCTTCAATCTTCAATTGGTAGAGGGCAGATGCAGTTGACAGCACAACGAATGATACCTCGCTTCGTCTTCAACTCAGCCACTCGCGTGACTCCGTCTATGCCGGGATAGGTCGTCATGGCCCGGCCCAGGGACCAGAGCAGCGGTGGTGTTGTTTTGTCCTTGATAAGAACTAAAGACCCCGGCTTCACTTCACCTCTGGAATGAAACCACTTGGATTTTGCCTGCAGCAGAGAGATGTATTCATTATGAAAGCGGCTCCAGAAATGCTGTCTGATGTACTGTGTTCTCCTCCAGCGATCCAGTCGCGTGATGTTGGCATCAGTCACCTGGGAATGTGGTACAGATAAGAGTGGTCGTCCAATCAGGAAATGAGCGGGAGTAAGTGCCGAAAAATCGTTAGGGTGACAAATCAACATCGAGCTATGCTGCGCTGTACTGCGCTGTGCTATGTTTGGTCATCTCGCTCGTCTAATATTTTAATGAGGATACAAACAAACCATGCTATGCTGCGCTGTGTGAGGCTACGCTCTGTTTAAAAACGCAGCAGTCTCGAGCGAGGCGCGCTACTCGCCGTGCTGAGTGTGCCGAACTGTGCTATGTTTTTTATGGAGCTCTGCCTTGCTGCGCTGTGTCGAGTTGTGCTAGGTTTTTCAAACATGGAGCACGATACGTGCCCCTCCATCGCCCTCAGACGTCTTTTTCACTCTCGTACTCCCATCTCGCTCGCACTAGTGTATGCGCGCACAAACAAACAAGAACGAACGAGTTTCATTCGCTCATTCAAACAGGTCAGTGTTGTGTCGAAATTTATTCATTGAGGGCAGTGGTCTGATTAAAAAATGGAGATTTTTATGGAAGAAGTTCGGAAACACGAATGTTTGTGGAATCCAACATCCCCATATTATAAAGATTCAGAAAAAAGAGAAGCCTCCTGGCGCGCCATTATACAAACAACAAAGATGGAAAACAGTAAGTACTTACTTAATAAGTGTGTGTGTGTGTGCGTGTGTATTTATGTGTGCTTATCGTTGGTGTATTGGTACAATTTTGTATGTATATACTCACATTTATAATCCCGGATATGTTAGCTACTAACCAGAGACTCAACTCAAGGTCGTGATCATGAACGAGGTAAACAGAAGCATTTGAGTGATATAGGTGTACCAATGAATGAGGAACCTCGGAGTGGTTTGTAATTAATTTACTAGTGTTGCAATAAAATCATTAATTAAATAAAGTTATTTTTGTATAAAAGATTTCCATATGTACTCATTAAATAATTTTTTTATTAAATTTTCAGTTTTATAACTTGTAAATTAATTAAAATGTGACCGCTCCGAGGTTCATCATTCATTGGTAAACCTATATTAGAATAATCGATTACAGCTCTCTTTTTACCAGTGGAATTAGCATAGGTTTCAAAGTAAAGTGAAGTGATCGCGTTGACTCGGCGTTCAGTACAGAAATTATTTATCTATTCACTGAACGTCGAGTTAACGCGATCACTTCACTTTACTTTGAAATCATACTGCAACTGTTTCAATACATTAAATTTGAAACAGTTGTAGTGTGATTTCTGACTACCCCCTAATGGGATTGCAGTCGTGAGTCTATGTATGTAGATACAACATTGTAAACAAATAGATACAATCTCATTTTTTAAAAAAACGAAATAAAAGAACATTTTTACGTGCTTATTAAACTTGTCTTTATTTAATTTTCATTTATATGGGCACTTGTATTTTGCCAAGGTACGCTACCACTGCCGTTAAAATAATTGGAAAATTCTTCTCTTATCTGATAGGCTATAATAGAAGGGCTTCCTCGTCGCAAAGGACGCAACACACTGTTAATACTGTTTTCAGTCCGAATTTCGTTATCTTCACTCAAATAGTTATGCAGAACACAGGCCGCTTTAATAACTTTGTCAACTGTGTGGATATTACAACCAAATGCAGTATGAAATACTCGCCATCGTGCTGCTAGTATTCCAAACGCTTGTTCAACAACTCGCCGTGCTCTGCTTAGACGATAGTTATATATTCTTTTCTGATTATTTAGTTGCGATTGAGGGTATGGTCTCATTAAATTTGGAAGCAGTGGAAATGCTTCGTCACCAACAAATATGAAAGGCATTTCCATACCACCTTCTTCTAAAGATTTGGATTCTGGTAGAAATAATGAATTATCTTTTGGTTTCTTTCCAAATGCAGAGTTGCTAAATATTCCTGCATCACTGAAACGTCCCTTAGATCCAACGTCTATTGCAATGAATTTATATCTTGCATCGACAACAGCAAGTAGTACTAACGAAAACGATTTCTTATAGTTAAAATAGTCTGATCCTGAGTTGGGAGGTGATTTGATATAAACATGCTTCCCATCAATAGCGCCTACACAATTTGGAAAATTGCATTTCTGCCTGAAAAAGAGCTCATTTTCTAGCCACAATTCTGTAGTAATTTCCTTCATAAATATTGGCTGTAAACACTTCCATATTGCATTGGAAACTTTGGATACAATTTTTGAAACTGTAGGGCCCGCTATCTTAAAATTGTAACCAATTGTAGTAAATGAACTACCTGTAGCCATGTACCTGCGAATTAATAAATAATATTATAATAAGCAACTTCAATTCTTTCCTACTAACTATTCACTAAAAAGTAATGAAATAATTAATTATCTAAGTATGTCAAGAACTAGGACTTTGATTCTATTTAAAAAACTATGAATTAAATTGAAAGTTCTAGTTCTTGACATACTTAGATAATTAATTATTTCATTACTTTTTAGTGACTAGTTAGTGGGGAAGAATTGAAGTGGGTTTGTTATTTTTTTAATAAATTTATTTCATAATTTTTAGTGATAAGTTAATAATAAATTTTCATAATTATGTAGTGATGTATATATATTTATTATTTGTTTCAGCCAAAGTAGCGAAAAATTCTTGGAAAAAATTGCGAGACAACCATAGGGAAGCCTTAAAAAGACAGAAGGATGGAAAAGTGGTCAAGCTGCCAACAACACGCGTCTTTGGAAGTTCCAGAAAGTTATGGAATTCCTTGTTCCATACACGCAAAATAGGAACACAACTGGAAATTATTCCCAAGATAATTCACAGGTGTCTCAAGAAAGTAATCATACTCAAGTTTCGGAATTGGACGAGGACAACTTTGAAGTAGAAAACGAAAATGAAAACAGCCAATCTTCTAATATAACTGCTGCAAGTTCCGAAACCACATCACAAAATACAAGCACACCTATTACACGCAAACGTGTACATAGTGTTCAACATGAAATTTTAAATTTTGTTAAGATCCAGCAAACAGACCGAGAGAAAAGAAAAACAGAACGTGATTTGAGAAACCAAGTAATTGACAAAATGGATGACATGGATCATTTTTTTCTTAGTATTTGTGAAAGTACAAAAAAAATTACCCAAACCGGCACAGCTTCGTCTTAAGAGAAAGATTTTTAATTTAGTTACGGAAGAAGAAGAGTTAAACATTTACAATGATATGTATGCATCTGAGAGTTATAATAGTGCCTTAACTAGTACTCGAGGGTATACAACAGCTCAAGGTGTCCAACAAGGTGTCATACATTACACAATGTGTTTACATCTCCAAGTAGTGCCTCAAATCAAACTGTAGGAGGATATACAGCTGAACAAGATGCCAATGATCTTCCAGTCGGTGGGAACACCGTGTTCGGACCGTATGGAAGAGAGGAGGCCAATGCTACTTCGCTAATTGATTAATTTAAAAATTCTTAGCGGTACCATTTTAATTTCATTTTTGCTAAGTACTTGTTTTTTATATAATGTAACATTAGTAAAGTTAATGAACGTTTTTTACCATTGTTTTATTATATTGACAAGTCACGCACGCACTACGTACATACTAGAGTACTGCCGCATTGCATGTAAAGTTTTGAAAAGATATGTCTAAATAGGTTCACTATTTTACCATGTAAAATTTTTATGAATTATTATTCTACATACAAAATTAATTACTAATACATACACGAGGGAAAATGTAAAGAGAAAATTGCCTTATCTTGTGCATTCAAATAATTTACTTACCTCAAACAGATTGCTAATTTCTCTTCTGTGTTTGGCTTTCTTACAGTCAATTTTGTTTTTTATATATGGCCTTATTAACGAATGTAAATAATTAAAATGATTTTTAGTCATTCGCAAATATTCTAAAAAAATTCCGTCTTCAGTGGCAATATTCTTTAGAAAATTAAATTCTCCGTATTTTTCACGTATGGTGTGTGGTAACAAGCTACCGTGACTGGACTCTTTTAACGACAAAATAACACATAAAATATCCATATCCGCTTCTTCTTCACTTTCATCTTCATCGGATTCAACTATATCGTAATGTTTACGTTTTTTTTTGAAAATAAAGTCATTTTTGACGAGATAAACTACTACACGAGCTGCTGATTACTTTTATACTGAGGTAAGCAAAGCGCAGCACAGCTTGATGTTGATTGTTAAAAAAACGTAGCCTAAGAAACACAGCACAACACAGCGCAGTACAGCGCAGCATAGCTCGATGTTGATTTGTCACCCTTAGGCCTCTGCCTCGAATCTTGCGGGCAGCGGGACGGCAGCGGCGGCGGCGCGGGAGCGGCAGGATCTTATGCGTAAAATCAAATGGACCGACTCTCGAAAACAGCGGCTTGGCAGCGGCGCGGGGGGCGGGCAACGAGCGGTGTACTCCAGTCAAGCGGTGACCGCCTGCGCGTCCGCATTGCATTGTTGTGCAATTAATTTTTGTGACGTTTCGAAATGTCCTCGGACGTGCAAGAGGAAATTATTTCAGCAATTTTTGAGAGAACACCGATATGGAACAGCAAAGATGTGAACCATAAAAATAGAAGAGTAATTAACCAGTTTTGGGAAGAAATTAAGAACGAACTGAATATTGAATGTAAATATGAAAATGATTTATTATGTCAACAAAATGACTAGTAACTAATGCGATTATCTATAAAATATTCTTTGAATTTTTCACGTATATATTGTGCTTGGTAAGACGTTCGGGAGTTTGTTTGTGATCTTATTTGTATTATTTCTTGATTCATGTTGACATTAGTATAGGCAATATCATTATCACCGTCCTTATCTCGGATAATGTTATGCAACAAACAACTAGTTTTAATGAGTAATCTTGCGTGACATTTGTTTGTCTCTATGGGTGTTCTGAAAATATGCCATTTGGATCTTAAAATTCCGAAAGCACACTCAATAGTCTTCCTAGCCCGCGATAACCGCTGATTAAATAATTCATTTTGTGCATTAAGTACGCTTTGAGGATAAGGTCGCATCAAATAGGTTTTGAGTGGATATCCTTCATCTCCAATTAAAACCATTGGTAGTATAATATCTGATCCGGGTAGATATTGTGGACGGGGTATATTGAAGTTATTACTTTGAAGTAAATGGTTCAAATTAGAGTAATGGAATGTCCCTGCATCGCTTTGTTTTCCTCTTCCTCCAACTTCTATACAAATGAATCTTTTGTCAGCATCCGCGACGGCTTGTAAGTGCATCGAAAAGTAATGTTTATAATTATAATGAGATGATCCAGCAAAGTTAGGATTTTTTATTCGACAATGTTTGCCATCTATAGCTCCGACGCAATTAGGAAATTGACATTTTTCATAGTAATTTTCAGATATTCTTTTCAATAATACTTCTGTCGGTTTTGGCATATGTAAATCCACTAAATTTTTCCATATAGCTCTACAAGTGCTATAAACTATGTTGGTCACCGTTGTTTTTCCCATTCTGAATGATAACGACAGTCTTTTGAAAGACTGCCCACTCGCCAAAAACCTGAAAATTAAAGCATAGGTATGTTAAAGTTATCTATGTAATATACAGTCTGTTCATTCTTTTGTTTCAGTGACCGTTTTAAAGAAAAAATGGAAAAATATAAAAGATCACTATAGAAAGGAATTAAAAAAATATCCTGCTCCTCGATCAGGAGATGCCGGATATGTTAATCAATCCTCGAATTGGCAATACTTTTCTCAATTGAGTTTTTTGCGAGATGAAATTCTACCAAATGTTACTGAGGGTAATTTAAGCAGCACTGAAACAAGTAATCAGATAAGTAAAGATTCTATTGCGATAGAAGACATCTCTGTAGAAAATTCTCAAGAAAATACAACCGGTCGTGATGAAGAAGCTTCTATTCATCCACAACAAGCTTCTACATCCTCACAAGGAGCTTCTATATCTTCACAAGAATCTACATCATCGCAAGAAGCTTCTACACCTTCAAGAGAAGCTTCTACTTCACAACGGTCAAGGAAAAAGAAAACAGCGAATGACATAAGGACTGAATTTTTAGAATTGGAAAAGAAAAGGATAAGACTGTTGGAAAATGATTTATCAAATCAAAGTAGAAACGAGACTTCTAGACATGAAAATAAGTCAGACGACTACTACTTTTTTATGAGTTTGCTTCCACAAATGGAAAAATTCACGCCAGTACAAAAGTATAGAGTGAGACAAAAAATTAATCAAGCTCTTCTAGACGAGATAAGTGTAAATGAAGAAATGTACCCTTCTAATGAATAATATATATGTGTGGGTATAATACTCAACACTAGGTATATCAACCTTATAATAAAAATACTCTCAAATAATAACAAAACTGTGATTGTAGAAATAACTAATCATCGTACAAATGAAAACTGTGATTTTAGAGATAAATGACTGTTACTGCGATTTTAGTTATAAGGTTATAAAGTTATAATCATCAATATTTGAAAGTGTTTCAAAAACAAACTGTTTTGTTACTTATTTCACACGTAACGTACCTATTTTATATTAAAAAACGTATTCGTCATAAATAAATGATTAAAGCTGATTAGTTTTTAGTAGGTATTTCATTAAAATGATTGCATCTGCTGTCAAATTATTTACTAAATTAGTGCACCACAATTTTTTTTGACACTATCAATAAATACAATTGCAAATTACAATTTCGTTGCTTTACTTACCCTAGCGTCAAGTATAATTTTTCTGCTGGAGATATACCTCTATATCGTTTTGGATTAATTACAGACTCTAAATCGCCCTTGATAGCTTCAAGAATATAGTCAAAAGTTTCTACGCTCATTCTGGTGTAGTCGTAGAATTTGTCGGGACAGTGTCTCTGTTCTTCGTAATTTCGATAAAACTCGCCTTTTCTTTTCCTTGCCATATAGTAGGGATTCACTTCTTCTTTTGCCCACAGTAAATCGAGCGTTAGAAATAAATTTGAATCAAAAAAGATGTTGTCGCCGTTGTTCAGACATTTCGTTCGCAAATAAAAACAAATATCTCGACAACACAACCATGAACACACAACTACGCCGCTATAGTGTCGCGCGACCTGCCCGCTAGTTTCGTGAACGGGTCTGCGTTGCCCGCCTCGCTCCCGCGCCGCCGTCGCCGTCGCTCCGCTGCCCGCAAGATTCGAGGCAGAGGCCTTAGGGTCTGAAGAGAGAGGAGTAAGAGGGCGCGAATTCAAGACCGCCTCTATGTGCGTAAGACAAGTAGCCATCTCCTCAAAGGTAAAATGGATAAGCTTTAAGTCTTATTAAATGATGCTTGCAAGATTTAACAGCAGCCTCAGCTAGTGAATTAAAATGTGGGCTGTAAGCAGGCGTGAAAATAAATTCGATACCCTGTTGTGCTATTTCAGCTGCAACACTCGATGAGTGCAAGAACCTATGCATTTCATTTGATGTGCCTACGAAATTTGTCTCGTTATCGGACGTAATGCTTTGATGCTTGCCTCGGCGCGCCACGAAACGATTTAGAGCGGCCATGTAAGCCTCAGAGGTGAGGTCAGTGACGAGCTCCAAATGTACGACTTTCACTGCAGAGCAAACAAAAATGCACATATAAGATTTTGTAAGTTTGCAGCCGCGACCTCTGCGATCGGCCACCAATACTGGCCCAGCGTAGTCAACATAACAATTTAAAAATGGAAATTCAGGATGAGTTCTTGACTGAGGTAGTTGACCTATTATAGGCTGAACGCTTTGAGCCTTATGTCTAAAACACTTAAGACATTTATTCATGACATTTCTGGAAAGGTTTCTACCACCTATAGGCCAATAAGTCTGCCTTATATTTGACAATAGTAATTGAGGACCGGCATGTAGTAGCTCTAAATGTTTCATTTGAATTATAAGCTTAGTAAGTATGTGCTTACTACATATTATTATGGGATGTTTTACACTGAAATCGTAGGGGGAGTTATCGAGCCTCCCGCCCACGAGGATAAGGTTATGTTCGTCAATGAACAGAGTTAAATAAAGCAATCTACTATTGCGTGGCAATTTTTGTTTAGATTTTAAAAGACGAAATTCTTCAGAAAACATTTCTAGCTGTGAATAATGTATTATTACATTATACGAATCTTGGAGTTCTGTTACGGAAAGATCGCCACACAATTTATCTTTATTTTTAGATTATATATAAATCTTTGTACATATGCAAACACCCTTTGAATTTTTGGAAAACTAGAATATTTTTCTAATAAGCGATGAATGATAGATGATATATAGATAGATGATGATGATATGGTTGAATGTGAATGATTACTAACAACATGATGGTCGCTATCACTACATGTGAAATGAGTCACTACATCCGGCAAATCATGTTTCTCTGTGTTTGGCATTTTAGGCCACTCATTTTCATTACGCAACAGAAAAGAGGGTCCGGACCACCACAGAGGTGTGTCCTTGATAACGTCAGCGTTAAGACCATGGGAAACAAGATCCGCCGGCTTGTCCTTCGATGGTACGTAGCTCCAGGTATGATCACAAGTGCTCTCCTGTATCTCATTGACTCTATTTCTCACAAAAGGTTTTAATTAGTTGGCTGGAGTAGAGAGCCAACCCAAGACTATGGTTGAGTCACACCAGAATCTACATCGGCGAATGGGTAAAGTTAGCGTTTCCTAAACTTTAGTACACAGCCTGGCACCTAACAAAGCTCCACACAGTTCAAGCCTTGGCTTGATGGGCGCTATACGATTTTTAGAAATGAGAAGTTTTACGCCAATAGATTTACTGTTACTGCATGACCGAATGTACACACAAGCGCTATAAGCTTTTTCGGACGCATCGGTGAAGACGTGTACTTCATGCGTACTAGAGTCTTCACGCAAAACCCATGTAGTGTGGGTAGTGTATGCTCATGTAGCTATATATATATGACAGCCTAATAAATATTCGGTCAGTAATAAACCTACATTCAAGACCAGTAGACGTACTATTTATTCCCCGAACCTCAAGACATTACATAGCGACCCTGCCAGTCGGTGCGCGCGCGACTCCGCTCGCCGCATGCACCGGCTGGTCACCGATAGTAAAATTATAATATATTTATTAAGAAATTGTTAATTAAAAATTATGACACATTCCCGGATTGAGGAAATTAATCGAAGTCGTGTAGAGCCAGCCATCAAAAAGTTATATCATTTTGAATAAATATTTATAAAATAAAATTAAAACATTATAAGTATAAAATCAAAAGGCAAAGAGGCATCAAAAAGGATAAAAGAAGATGAGAGAAATAACTTTTTCACTCCGGTTAGGAAGAATATTGGTTGAGAAGATCTAAATTGAAATACGCAATGGTGTTCACATAGGAAATTTTACATTATCAAGATATATACACAATTTTCGAAAACTCGTAACAACCAAGCAAAACAAAAAGGAGATATTAATCAAAACATAAAATTATCAAGAATTTAATTGAGTGGCCAGTTTTTAGGGGGGCTGAATTTTTTGTGTATTCCATCTACAAGGAAACGGGAAGTATGTTATATTCAAGAAACATAAAAAAAATTTAATAGAGACTATAATGTGAAAACTATGCTTGATGTATCTGCAAAACAATTACTGTATAAAATGCAAATAATATTATTATATTTTTAAGGTAAGTGATTTTAAATATGTATCTCTTTTAAAATTCTAATTTCATAAAATTAAAAATATAATAACATTAGTCACCACTCATATTTAGATTGTTTTTTTTTACCGAACACTCTCAATAGAAAGCAATTGCCTATATATTATCCTAATTATTTTAGCGTGCTTATTTTAATTATCTATTTTGTTCTAAAATATTTAACATAATTAATGAAAAAAAAGGAACTTTATTATATTGCTATCAGATAAACGACAACTCAATGAATAAATTTTGTAAAAGATAAATTGATCGGTGAATAATATTAATTTAAAACGCAGCTTAACTTAATAACGCAAACTGATATATTTTATTAATAATAAAAATTGCAATATTTTATATAGATATTATTTAAGAATTCATCGAAATGTAATATCATGTTTTCTTTGTATTAACATTGCGCATCAAATTCTAAACAATACTGACGTGATCTTTTGCATTTTGATGCATTAATATACGCTACTGTTGTCTCCTGACTTGCCTTCAAAATATTGACTTTATACTTTTTCATTTACTTTATCTGCGATTAAAATCCAGTATTCAATTGATAAAAAAAAAACTTGATAAAATAAACTATTATTTTGTAATACAAAACTGTATAGTAGTTCGATACTTTTTTTTGAGATAATATTATGATTATTGAATTTAGGTAATGGCTCTAAACTCTAATGACTTACGAACTATTGAAGCTAAGACTAATGTTAAACAACTTATATAACAGAAAAAAAATGCGAAATAGGATTAATGATGTCAAAACATAAAGTTTATGTAGTATGGAAAAACAATTGTTTGTGCCTTAAAAGTATAATCTATTTGCACAAAAGAGTAAAAGAAAGAATAGAATAAAAAAAAAGTCTTAAGTCAAAGTATAGAAAGGAAACTGTATGAGAATTGTAGTATTGATAGATGTGATGACACTAAGGTTGTGTTCAAATATATTGGGATGGTGTATATATTTGAAAAGAACAGTAAAGTATTAACTTAACTACGAGTATTTGTAATCGGCTAGATCAACCGATGAACAACTATGGTTGTGTTAATTTCTTTTTCTCTTGAAGAATGTTGAGGTTTTGGTATGGATGTGTGAAAGTTGAAGACAGACTACGGCAAAGAAATGTATATAATAAGTATGGATTTTAAATGTTGTAATATATGTTGTATATGTAGAATAATTTATGTGATGTTTAGATAAATTATTAGAAACTATGCAATTTTAATATCAAAATTTTGCTAGTTATTGGAATGAAAGAATTAGGCTATCGGATATTATCTTAGCCAATGTATAGGGCCCAAACTCTGGTTATATTAATAAACCAATATGCTTAGTTGAAAGAAGATGGAATGAGATTGAATGAATATAAAAGTATCCGATACAGACAAAGATTTACGAAGATAATAAAAAAGATGACCATGAGAAATAAATGATGGAGAGATACGGGAACGTTCATCACTGGTATAGCATAGCGTCCTCGAGCAGGGTATGTTTCCGTGATTGGACGATGAAATCGGAGTAACGGGTACTAGGGAACAACGCCTTCAGTACAAGTGATGTAACTGAGTTTACTCATATTATTGCTGTTAGGGACCAGAGAAGTCTTAAATTTGTT